TTTCATGCTGAAATCCCCTTAAGGGCACATACTGGAAACTCATTTCCTGTTGTAAACAGCCACCCTGATTCATATTAGTGGGAGAAAATTTCAAAAGGAGTTAACAACTATGTTAACTATTCACGAATCAGTATTAAATCATGAGATGGGGGGCGGGGGGCACAACCGCTGCCTCGCTAAGCCTTGATCTCTGTGGGGTGGAGGGAGCAGTCCTGGCTCCAGGGCCCCCCCCCCCCAGCCACACAGAAATCAGGGCATGCCCCTATCTCCACATGGCTGAGAGGGAGCTGCCCTGGAGCCAGGGCAGCTCCTCCATGCCCTGCCAAGGCCAGGCTTGACCCCCGTGATCCCTGCCAGCTTGGGGCTAGCATCTGGAGGAGCTTGGAGCTCCCCCTGGCTGTTGCCGGGGGGGGCAGAGCAGGTCAGGAGTAGCCCTGGACTGAACTGCTCCCGCACATGTTCAGATGCTTGCCCAGGCACAGTTTAATGCACCTGAATTTTCTGCGCAGAAAATTCAGGTGCATTAACTGCATGTGTAGATGAACCCACTGAAGTCTTTATTCTGCAGCTGCTTGGGATACAGAACCTCTCTTCTATCCAGAAAAGGTTTTGTAAGTCAGCAAAGCAGGGTTTAAGCATGGCCTTCTAGAATGATTGGAGGAATAGAGAAATATGTTTTTTTATTGAATTCTGACACTGGGTATGGGAAGCAGAGGACAGACATACAAATCCCATCAATTAGTTCAATACAATCAAAGAATCCAAACCATACAATTCCATTAATAACTGCCTATACATTACCTAGTCCTACAAGCAATAGAAAGGCATATTCTTGATAGCAGTGCACAGCTTCATAACAGCATCCCTAACATTAGATCTTCCAATAACAAACTTCTGAACAACTTCCTGGTAGCTATCGTGATGGGCAGCTTCCAGATAGTAATGGGCCATGAGTTTTTCCAGACTGCGCAGGGGCGACATGTAGGGGGTGCACGCGGGTGCATGTCAGTGACATGTCCTCTACTCCACGAAGCTTGTCCGACCAAGAAGCTTGCTTCTTCCTGGTTCAGCTTCCTGGTTTAGCAGGTCGGATCCAAGTTCCACGACCAAACATCCCAACCACACAGCTAGAGTTTCTTCAGGTTGGATTCTTGATTCTCTGCACAACTCCTGTAATTCAGTTCTGGTGCAAGCATAGTAGGCAGTAGCAACTCGGCTGGTTGTTGCTACAGGCTGATCTGTTACTTCAGGAGTCATTGCTGCTGTTATTGCTTCAGGCAGGAGGGGCTGATGCACTCCTCCGCTTGATTCTCCCTTCCGTCAGCAAGAAGGCATGGTCGCTGGAAGCGAAGCTGCGTCGGTGGGCGGGGTCGCCGGCCAAACTCTCGCGGGTTTCTCCGAAGCGTCACCCTTCTCTTCCGGTTCTTCCACGCGGTCTCCCTCTTGCTTGGCGCCATCTTGGCATGGCATCTCAGGATTTTCTTTCGCAGCAGCTTCTTTGACCGCTTGAACGGCCATACGCAGCTGGGCTTTCAAACTTAAATTCTTCTGCATTAGATCAGTTACAGTGCGAAAAGTTGCAGTTAGCACTCCCCCCTTGTCGTATTTTGGGGCCACCCTCTCATCCGCGGCACGTTCCTCTGTCTCCAGATCTTTGT